CAAAATTGAAATATTTATTAAGTGCTCATTAGCTATTCATTCTCTCATCCTCCAGTTGTAATAATCAGCATTTTAATAGGGATATTTGTTGTAAATGACAAAAGCCCAATTCTAACTACATAGAGTAGAAATAATGGTATTTTAGAAATATAATAACCAAAAAGAGGGAAGAGAGGAAAGTATTTTTTTAATTTTTTTTAATTTATTCATTGTACTGAAGGACCATTGTTTCACATCCTTGCAGTGTTTTTAAAGTACAAGATTTTCCCCAAGTCACCAAACCACTGCCACCACTGAAACACCAACAGTCCTTCACCAAAACCCACCTTGCTCTCCCTCCACACCCAGACTCTCACCCTTTCTCCTCCTCCTTTTACAGCTGTAGATGTAGGGCCAGCTTTCAAGGGTTACGGTTTGTCTTTGTTTGATCCTTTGGTTTTCCTATATTTCACATATAAGTAATTCAGTATTAGCATGATGTAGTACATATACTAAATGGAATATTACTCAGCAATCAAAAATAATAAACTCATGCCATTGTCAGTAACAAGGATTATGCTAAGTGAAATAAGCCAGAAAGAGAAAGATGAAAGTAAGCTTTTAAAACAAAAGTTAAATGGCACAAGAACATCAAAAGAAGCAAACAAGGCCTCCCTGGTGGCACAGGGGCTAATGACAGCTCTATCGAGATATTTCAGGTACTGCAGCATGAGTTTGAACCCAGGGCCAGCCAGCGAACAACCCATATGGTAAGACAGACCTCTCCTGCCATGCCTGCTGCTCCCCGAACAGTGTATTTCAGTTAGTCTGTCCTGCTTCCCACTCTCTCTGGTAAATCCTCTCACCCTCCAATCCCCACACCTCTGGTTTACATCCCAGTGCTTATATGCATAAATAAATCTTAAAAAAAAAAGAAACAAAATATTGAATTTTTTAGCTTGTTGCAAATAGAATTGTTACTTTCAACATTTTCTGCTTGAATCAAAAAAAGAATATGTCTCTCTGTCATTCTCTAGGGGAATTACTTTTAAGGCACTGTTGAGTTAATAAAGTCAAATTTTCAGTTTTATAAAGTCTTAAAATTGGAAACACAATTTATAGTTATATCCTTCTATCTGGACTAATATTTGAGTTTCCCATAACAATGACAAAATTGGCTAGCTTTATACATATTTAGCATTTCATACTAAATTAAGAATTTTCTATTAGCCACAATAAGATTTATAACAATTAAGTTATTTATTAAGGATGCCAAATGATGTCACATTGACCAATGTTGATTTTTTAAAATTTGAAGTCTGTATGTTAACTTTGATATTTTTAATTAGATCTGTCATATGCACATATCATTATTTTTGCTATATGTAAAACTATGGGTTCATTTTGTGGAATTCTAGTTGTAATGGCATCTGTACTCAAATGATATGAATTCATAATAAACAATGCTCCAAATAATGGGTAGATAATTTATTGTATACATATATTTTCCTAATAATGACTATTCTAAAGGTCTAAGAGAGACAGATACTCTGGAGCTTAATAACAAATAAAAATATTCTTTTATTATGATGGTAAAGTTCATTTATATTCACAGATTTTTAAAATGGAGACATTAGTTACTTCCTCTAGAGAAAAAATTTAATGTTCCTTTAAAGGTAATGCATTCATTCTAGAGGAAAAATGTGTTCATGGCAGACAAAAGAGACAAAGAAAATAAATTATGTGTAAAATCTAAATGCATATTAATTAGGTAACATAGTAGTGATAAGATTTTACATTTCTAAATATATTTACTTTAAAATTCCAGAATGTAAATATGGCATAACAATAAAAAAAGAGCAACCTGTCATTTTGCTCCATGAAAAGTAACAAATACCAATTCTTCAGACTTTAAAAAAAAAAAAAAAAGACAGGCTGGCATTTTATTTTATTTTTCTTAAGATTTATTTATTTATTTATTTATTTATTTATTTATTTATTTATGCAAGAACTGGGGTACAGGCCAGATTTGCGGGAGAGTGAGAGGATTCAGCAGAGACAGAGCAGGGAACAGAACAAGCAGACTGACAAAATACACTGCTAAGGGAAATGAGTAAAGAATGTATGTTATAAAAATTGAGGATTCTGATAAAAACTATTTAAATCATGTTAATTTAACAGGAACTTATGGAAGAAGGCTCAAATAAAAATATTGTGAGAAAAAAGAAAAACTGGAGTTCCAAGAAATGGCAGTGTTCTTCCCAAAGTAAATGATAATTATATTATACTTATCAGTTTTATCTATATTTTATCAATATAACACTTCCATTATATAATTTAATAATTAGATTAAATATATAGATATACATTTTCAATTGAAATTCATAGACTATTTTATATAAAACAGTTGTTTGCTGGATACAAAACTGTAAAGCATGATGAAAGCAAAATGATGAAAATATATACCTTCCAACACAAACCTGTAGAAAGAATCATTGGTGGAAATAATGAGTATGTTTCAGAATGCTGAATACAGTATTGAAGCCATTAGCAATATTTTTAAATCTGTATGTAACTATTAAGTTATATAGATTTTAGAAAAATGCAGGGAACAATCATAAATGGATATTTAAGCAAATCTCATTGCTTATCAAAAATGCAGATCTTTCAGTCATCTATGAAAAGTTTAAACTTAACAATTGGTACATACATGCATCCTGTGCATACTCTATAAATTCACATGTAAGTATAATTTTACAAAGATGCACTCTACAGTTCAAGCATATTAATAAAATGTATAGATTTGTGGTGTCACTAAAGAGTCATTTATCAACTTTGTCTTGAATTCTTGCAATCTGGACATTCAAATGAAATAAATAAAGATAAATGCAATTTACAGATTGATATCTCAGCCACACTAGCCATTTTAAGCCCTATTTAGAGACATACGACATCTCCAGCTTTACAGAAAATTCTCTAACTGGAATTTACCTAAAATAGAAGTCAACAAACATAAATTTGAATTCCTTACATGGTTTTGAATAGAGTAATATCTTTCTATTTTTCATATGAGCCATAGAAACGACCAGATGAATGTTCACAATCATACAAATTATGGAGAAATAAACAAGTGAAAATGCCTTGTGAAATATTGATTGCTTTAAATCACACACTGCCAAAAATAGCAAAGGCAGAAATGAATACACATAAAAGTAACTGAAAATGTGTAAGTCAGAGGTAGGTGAAATGACTGCAAAAGAAGTGGAGGGGAGAAAACAAAGAGCACAAACACTAAAAAGAACAAAATTATTGTTAAAGAACATCAACAAAACATATATTTTCATTGTAAAGACAGTAAAAATCACAACAAACTGTTCAGAAAACATTTGAGAAGATATGTCCATTATATCTTAACTAAACATGGAGATTTATAAAGATTTTTACTAATAAATACCGGATAAGAAATCAATATTAAGTAATTTCCAAATAATATTAAGTAGTTCAAACACATCCAGAATTATTTTTAAACAACTTTATTAAGATGTATTTACAAAACATAACATCCATCCTTGAAGTGCATAAGACAAAGACATTTAGCAAAGTCAGAGTTTGCAAACTTCATTAACTTTGATATTCAGAAAGCTTTCATCATTTCAAAAAGAAACAGGGAACCAATAGGTGGTCACTTCCTTTCCAGCCTCCCTTCAGTTCTGGGCAACCCCCAATCCACTTTCCATACCCATGAGTTTGCCATTATGTATAAATGGACTCACACCAAAAAATGATCTTTTTGAAGGTGGATGCCACTATGAAATGTTAAATCAAAAAATGTCAGACACAAAAGTAATGATATCTGTACTTTTTCTGAACATAGTGTGTTTCAATAATTATTTTAAAAATGTCATTAGAACAAAAACAAAATCAATATAGGAATTATTTCTTGAAATGGAAAGTTACACAAATGAATCCATTTTTTTTTTGTTTTAATTTAAAGCTTCTGCTTGCAATAATACATATCTGGATCTTCACAATTATCTGCATAATAGTTAGAATGTAGCACAACACAGCTATTGTTAGCAGATGATGTTTCTCCTATCCTGTAATAAAGAAAAAGACATAATTCTGCTGTTACAGAATGTTGGAGCAAGCCAAGAAACAATAGCATTTCTTTTGATTGCAATACAAACATATTTTGAAATTGGATCAAGACAATTTTCATAGAATACTTGAAAGAGTTGGGAGTTAGACAAATTGAGCTGTCCTTCAATGTTTATCAAGATTTACTCACATTCAACATGTCTACAATTTAATCAAATGCACTAATATCATTTTCTTATATTCCTTTTCATACCTTTCTTCTCTTAAGTTCTATAGAGTCAGAGCAAACCAAGAAACAATAGCATGTTTAATGCCATTATCACATTATTTAAATAAAACTTACTCTAGGTGGGTAGTTGACCCATTTAAAAACATCCATTCATGATTGCTGCTGTTACGGTAGATTCCAATCCATGATGAAACTGCTATGGATTTCATAAATTTCTATTCAAACACAAAGAATTTTCACTTACATAAGGATGATGAAAGGCTTCATTTTTAAAAAACACAAGTAATATGATCTTTCACAAGTTCCTACATTTCAGAAGGAAGAGACAGATTCCAATCTCATACCACATACACATGATGTGCTGAAAACTATTGTACGTGATGACACAAACTCTCACCAGCACATCATCATTTTATAACATGAGCTCAAATCATTTGTACTTAGGAACTTCACTCGTCATGTGAACACGGAAAATTCTGACCTAAGTCAGTGATCTGTCAGCACAAACCTACAACAGGAGGTGGCTCGGGGGAGCCATCCTGCACTGAGGTGAGGGGTCCTGTGCAGCAACAGCAGGGCAGCCTGACAAAGGCAATGCCTCAGGGCAGTGACAACAGTCAGCAGCCAGGGATACTCTTCACATCCTAGCAGCAAGAGACACATGAGCAGGGCTGGGAATGTACAGATGGGACATCTAAGGGACCCTGTGACTGAAAATAGAGAACCCAGGAAGTTTCTTTATCTCTGAGCAGATGACATTCACATCCCGCACCTTAAACAGAATGGATTTTAAAATGTTATATGATAAAATTCTACAGTGAAAATTAGCAAACAGCAGATAAAAGCAATATGCAGATGAATTACTGAGAAATTAAAAAGGAGTGATGTGACCAAAACAAAAGTATATACCATATGATTGCATTTCAGTTCATAAACAAGAAAAGAGATCTATAAAATTAAAAATCAAGTCAGTGGCTAAATAACCAGACAGTAGGAGAGAAGAGTGAGCACACAGGGTGTCTGGGGTGTACTGGGGGCTGGAACTTCTACTCAGGATCTGCTCTGCAGATAAAATTTTCATTCAGTTGGTGATTAATCTGCCCGATCACAATAGTCTTGCCTTCCTTGATGTGTACTAAATAGCAATCTTTATTTGACACACACACACACAAGAAATATGGTCCTCTATGAAAGCCAAACTAGGTTTTTCAAGTGTGCATTAATGGGTCAAAGATTTTAAAAATCCAAAAAGTCACACAATGGAATTTTATGCAAACTTTAAAATACAATTTTTTAAAAATATGTATGAAGTCTATAAATATAAAATGGGCCTGTAAAAGTCTTCAATAAAGTGGTTGGGACACTGAAATTCTTACCATTTCTTCCTCAGTGTCTATGTAGAGCAGCTGAGAGTTGTTACTCTGACAGGCCATGACGCTCTCCTTCCAGGTTTTTTTTTCAGCGCTAAAGTAATAGCAGTTGTTGGAGTACTTAAACCACCCCTTTGGACAAGGGCCACAATGACATGCTGAAGGGAGATTATGAATTATTACCTAAAACTATTTGTGTTAATAAAATAAGACATATCGTATACATGCTAAGATATGAACATGCATGTACATAACACATGCACAAGCCTCACTACTGGTGCATACAACACACACTCACAGAGAAAGGGCAGCTTCTCATGCTATAATTTAGGTGCCCATATGATCCAAACTCTCACAAAAAAAAATTATCCACTGTGTATGTCCTAACACAGAGTAAATAAAGTCATTTTTCACAGTGAAATTTTTTATACATTTAATAGCAGCAGGACATGAGCCAATTGCCGACATGGGTGTGGAAGTTTTAAGTAAAATTTCTTCCTTTTGTTTGATATGAGGAACCCCTCCTGTCCTCATTATTCATGAACATTTATTTTTTGATTTTATGGTGTGTGTTCTAACAGAAAATTTATTACCATTATTACCTAGTCTAACTTATATACATAATATAAACTGTAGTAACATCAGAATTTTGGAAATCTTTGTGTACCTTTCTGGATATTTGTTGTTGTGGAGGAATCATTCTTTTGTGGATTTTTAGTAGGAGCTAGAAAAAACAAAAAAATTCTTATAATAATTGATAGTGTTCTAAGTAAATTATAATCATATATTTCTAAGTTAGAAATGTTGTATTTTGGTAGATTTATACTAATAATCTATAATAAAGTTGACTTTCCCTGACAATTAATAAAATAATAAATCTTTGAGGAAAATATCACAGAAATTGAGTCAAATTTCACCATCTCTTATAGTATGTAGTCACCAAATTTCAAATATCTTTTCAAAGTTTTCAATAGAGTATTTCAGTCTCCTAAAGTGTGACTTTGAATCATGATATCTAAATGTACACAAAATAATTTCTAGTATCATTCAGTATTTTTGTACATTTGAGAAGCTGAGATTAACCATTCAACATTTAATTAAACAGATGCATTAACATAATAATTCTATTCCTTAAAATTATGAAATATTTAAAAGCACCGACAATCATTATGTGTAAACCTCCCAATTACCTTTCATAAATTTACCTACGGGTATAAAGCCACATGGGCACAATAGTGCCTATCAAGACAAGGCAGGTGAGTCCCAAGATCCCAGCAATGAGCTTCTCTGTAGGTGCTGCTAAGCCTGCAGGGAGAGAAATGGAAACGCTGAGAAAGGACAGATGGAGGCAGTTGCTCATTTTGCACACATCAAAATCTACATGCACAGGGAGTCATATGTAAATTTGACTCAAGACCTCTATCTCCCACTGGAATCTTCCCCCCAGATTATACCATTGCTTTTTTTTAGTAAACAAAACAACCATGAATTATTATTTGTCAACAATTGTAAATTATAACAATACCTGGAAAAAATAGCCATCAGAGTCCCTCTAGAATACCATATTCCAATACCAAATTCTCAGCCTCACAAATGAAAAACATGTCAGTTTATTCCCTATTCTTTGTGGACCTCCACCCCTCTGCATCTCCCAGAACAGTTGTGTTGATTGTATACTAAATACTTTACCTTTGAGGTGACAGGACTTGCCATTCTCCTGAGGATCCCGAACAGCATTGTGAAGACTTAATTCTGCGTAGGTTACTCCCTGCTCTGTTCCAGTAGTGGAGATTTTACTCTTTTTAGGTTTCACTTGCGGCCTTTTTGAGACCTTTGCCAGCTTCAGCTCTGCATAGGTGACTCTTTGCTGGTTCATCTCTGCTGATCTGTAAAGTCAGGGACTGCACTCTGTGATAAATGCTTCTCAGTCTTTAATAAATGGTGCATAGGACCAGATCACTGTGGGCGGAGTGTGAGTTGAGTGATAGACTCATTTTGCAGTTGAACAACACACATGTCTGGTCTAAACATGTCTAGTTAAAACTTCCAGAAGATCCCATAACAATCCAAGTTAATGAAGGTTGCCTTAGTTCTACAACTAATTGAATCAATAAAAAAAAATTCAAAATTTTAGTAATAAATAGACTCTGTAATGTGGGGGATGTAGAATTAATTCTGACTTTGATACTAAGTATCATGTTTTAATTTTAACTCAATAAAAAAAAAGGGATCAAAATAAAAATTTATGTAGAGTCTTTCAACTCAGATTTAGTTTAGTAATCTAAAATGGAAATAGGAATATCTAAGACATAATACATGTAGATCATGATAATCTGAATTTTGTGAGCTGTCAATAATAATACATTCCTTATTTAAATTATTATGTTGATACAACCAACAAGTTTTTTTCTATTTCATAACATTTATATCATGTAATCTCATTAATTAGACAGTAGTTTGTTTTATTAGCATGATATTCCTTGTACAATACTTTGATTATTTTTAAGCATTTTGTATACTTTTAAATTCAAAAGCATTTTATGGAAGCAGTCTCATCCTGATTTCTATTAACATTAAAACTTTTTATATTGACTCTAAGAATATAGATGAGAAATTACCTTTGAACTTCATGATGAAATGAATTCATTTTAAGAGTCTAATTTTAAAGATTGAGCTAAATGCCTAAACTATATAGAATTATACCTGTATTGATTATGAATTCCAAAATAAACTCTTCTTTGCCATGATCTGATGAAATTAGAAGTTAAATTGCATTGATTTAAACTCTAATATGCACAGATATTATATACTTGACTAATTCTCCACTGGAAAGAATTCAAATATTTTGAGAAATCCTCAAAATATTTTGTTTTCCTCTTCTCTTTTACCTGAGTTATTCAAATAAAGACACCAATCTTCTTTCTGATTTGATTGCATAGGAATTATATATCAGTTGCCTCACTTCTAACCTTCATAAACTTCCAATAAAGAGACAGACCAGCAGAGAGAGGAGAGGAGCAACACATACCTTCTGTTGGCTAGGAAATTGTGCATCCTTGAGTGAAGGAGGAGACACCTCCACACTGATTTTCACAGGGACTAGCCCACAGAGCACCCTACCAGCAGTGCAAGAGGGTTCCCTCTTCTCCACATCCTCACCAGCACTTGTTCTGATCTGTGATCTGTGATTTAGAACTGCCTTGTGAAGTTTCAGAGTGAAGCAAGAGTGGAAAAAGTAGAATTCTCATGAATGTGTCACTAGCAGTTTGGACAGGAAATTGTTACACTTTGGCTATTTTGAAGACAGTTCACCTCATCACACACCTGCAGACTATAGGAGATTTTGGGTTTATAGTTGTCATTTACTTTTTCCATTTTCAAATGTGTCTGAAATGTATCAGTAAACAAAAAGAGTTGAACTCCCATGATTGTAACTTGTTTCCAAAGCAATCATAAATGCTGAAAACTTAGACTTGGTTAAGACCTTCTTAGATGTTTAACTTCTACTATAAAACAAGATTCATAAATCTTCACATTATATACTTTTCCCCTATGTCCTTATTATATCATTCATATTAAAATGGGAAAAATAATATTATCATTCCATTACCAATGGGTGTTTAGTGATGTTTGTCACTGATTATTCCAAAAAATCACTACATTTCCAAATTTTCTATGACTATAACAAAAATCAATACCAACTTATCTTCCCAACATCTCTTCCCTAGTCTGAAAGTTCCTGCAATCTATTTTTTCTTCATAAATAATTTATTTAGATTTCCACTGATAAAAACAATATTAAACCATATCATCAATCCAGGGACTGAAATATTACCACCATTCATTCATTCATTCATTCATTCATTCTCCAATTATAATTGTGTTTTAATAGGAATATTTGTTGTGAATGATAAAAACATAAGTGTATTTATTAAGGGAATTACAAAGGTAACTTTCAAAAATCTCACTGAACCAAAAATTGGGGAGAGTAGAAAAAAATAGACTTTTAAAACAGAAATTGAAGGCATATGACAAAATGATCATTATCACAGAAATGCAAATCAAGACCACAAGGAGACACCACCTCATATCTGTGAGAGATCTATATCAAAAAAAAAAAAGTAGAAACAAGTGCTGATGAGGATGAAATCTACGGACAAACAATATAAAGTCTCAAAAATTACTCAAAATAATACAAGTGACTATAACTTACTCTTTATGATATATATAGAAATAGTCATACAGGGGTCTGTGTATGCATACATATATATGTGTGTATATATATATATACACATATATATATATGTATATACACACAAACATAGGTATGCATATATAATTTGTGACTGTTTCTAGTTGTGAGAATATCCAGTGACCTAAGAAAAGTGGATGAATTGGAACTCAGTAAGAAGCAAAGAATACCCTTTTCAAGTTAAGTCTCAGCGCTATCAAACTATCACAGCTGCGGCCAGAGTTCCATTCCCCAGCCATGGAGCTGACCCGCATGGTACAGCAGACCTCTCTTTCTCACCCACTGCTCCCCTCAGCAGTGTGTTTCAATAGATCCACCTGTTCTGCTCCCTACTCTTTCTCAAGTGAATCTTCTCACCCCTACTCTTCTGGCCTATACCACAGTTCTTACATGCATAAATATAAGAAAAATAATTTTTCTAAGATTTTGTTTTTAATCATTTATGTACTTCTTACTTAATATAGTGTATTTTAATAATTATTTTCTAAAAAAATTAAGGTGATGGAACTTAAGCATAGGTTTTCAGGATAAATAAATGGATTTAATGAGTGCTTATGTGGCTAGAATTGCTTTCCTTACTTTTTCAATTAATTAATTAATTAACTTTTTTTAATATTTTTTTATATAATTCCTACATCATTTTTCATTTTTGCACAATGTATGCATTTTCATTTTGCAAATGCATTTTCAAATGCAAATGTATGCATTTAATATTCCCCATGCAATTGCACCCCCCCTTATTTTGACCCTAGTCCTTCCTCTCCCTGCCCCTCCCCCCCCATAGTGTGTCTCTGGTTTATAGTTGCTTGTTTATTTTGATTTTTACTTTGTATTAATCAGTCTTTTTCCTGGTCCCTTATTTAGCTTTTCTGGTCTATTGTGGGGGGGATGGGGAGATGTGAAAGAATATACCAGAGACAGAGGGAGAAGAAAAAGGTATTCACAGGCTTTGTAACTTGGGGTGCCAGTTTGCATGTACTGAAATACCTGGTATTCGGCACTGGACATTGTCACAGAAACATGTCCAGGTTTCTGCTTTCTGTGTTCCTGGAGATGGGCTGGTTTTTCTGGTCATGGTGGTCTTATGGTTTTGTCCCCAAGGCAGGCTTATCCATCCCCTTAGCTGTTCAAGGCTCCCTATCTGCCTGCTGGGCCAGGAGCAGGGGTTTAGTTTTTAACTTCACTAAATTATACCCTGATGCTCTTCAAGTGTTTTTCAAAGTATTTACAGATAACTGTAAATTATATTTATAAGACTCTTTTTCATCATATTGTGTAAGAAAGAAATCTGAGCCAAAAAAGTCATGTAATGAAGTCATGGGGTTAATAGCATACAGTTAGAGTTACATTCGGATGATCTGGTTTCATAGTTCATGTCCTAAACTTTTTAAAATTATTTTTTGTATTTGTTTTCTTATATTGTCATTCATTTTTGGACTGTATTTGCTTTCTCCCTTCAGGTACAGTCCTCATAGTTCTCCCATCACCACACCCTTGGGCCCCACTATGGTCTCTGTTCTCTTCCCTCCCCAGTTGAGACCCCTCTTCTCTCCCACCCCACTGTGTGCCTCTGGTCTATGCCCTGACTTCATACCAAGATGTTTCCTCCCCATTTGTATGGTGATCCAGTTCCCTGGGGAGAGCACATGTATGACTGTAGTAGCACACAAGGCAACCTCATAAGAATTTTTAGCACAGAGGAAATAATTACCTAGATGGGATATGAAGGAACTACTATTATTCTCAATTTTCCAGCTTTTTTCTTTTCACAAATGCATCTTTCTCACAAAATATATTGACAAAACCATTTCTGTGACTATTATAGTAGATGAGATTACTATTCAGTGAGTCCACATCCTGGCCTTTGAACACCATGAGTAGACCTTGGGGGTAGATAATCAATGAGTGTTTAACTATGTGATTTTTCTTGACGATATCATGTGAGTGGGAAGGTGACAGCCTGAGTCCTGAGCCCAGACAGGTATAGCACATTTCTGCCTGCCCCTCAGACAGCTGCTATTCTCTGCTGTGAGAAGGTCATATACCTGGTAGCTCAGTGCTCAGAGATCAAAATATATTTAAACAAACAAAACCTGACCTGACATTGTGGTCTGAAGTCAAGCCAATACCTGCCAGGTTGTATCAATTGAAATAGTCAAACCACAAATGGGTGAATGAAACATAAACACTTATTTTTAAATGTCAGTGCAATCTTGGGCTGTTTACTACCCAAATTTGGCAATTAGCTACAGCTATAAATTATAAATTGAATAAAATTAATCATGATTAATTATATATTGACTATATACTTTTATGGAGAATATACAGAATACGCTATATTCAAAATATAAAGTTATGTAAAATATTGATTTATTTTGCAAATGATAATAAGCTCAGTCACCTCTTCTGGTTGTAATAGAATTCAGGCATAAATATTTCTGCATCAGTGTCAAATTATGAAATTCTTCCTGAATTTTCTCAATAACTAGCTATGTTGCCATGTAAATTTTCTTAGCTTTTTAAATCTTTTTGTTAATTAATACTTTTGTTTCCATAAAAGTATTTTTCTAAGCATGGTAATAAAAAGTGATAGAGAGGAGTGAGAGAGAATTTAATAAAACAAG